TTTTTTATTTTTCTTTTGTTTAAATTTTGTCTTATTTCTATGCGTTTTTTCCTCCCTTTTCACATGCTGCTTTTCAGCCCCGCCGCGGCTCTGCCGGAGAGATCAGGCGAGATCATTCCGTGGCCTCGTGATTCCGCTTGCCGTCCTTCTTGGCAGCCCCACACTTGCGGGCCTCGCGTCGTTTCTTGCGATGAGCTTCAACGTCAGCCGGTTGACGCCGTTGCCTGCAGTTCAGCTCCCAGTTTAGCTGGTGCATCCAGATGCGGCACTGGTACTGGCGGTTGAGGGCACGAAGCAGAGCCTTAAATTCCACGTAGCTATCGCTGCAGTACGTGAAGGTCAGCTTCTTTCGATCGAACTGAAAGACCGCACGTTGTACCTGCAGCGGGGTGCGCATATTCAGCGAGTCAATCGCGGCCTTGCAGAAGCGCAACGCCTCCCCTTCCAGCTGGTCGAGGCGGTGGAACGACTCAACTTCCTCTGAAACGGCCAAACGAAGCACGCGGAGGTTGGCGCTTTCACCCTCCTCCTCTGATTCCACACTCTTCACGGGTTCCTGCTCCGAGCGTTCAACGGAGACAATGACGCCCATGTCCTCCCCACGATCTCCTTCCACAATAACGTGGCAACCCACAAGCTCATCTGGTTTCACAATAACGCCAAAGATCTGCGGCACATCATTCACGATAAACACTTCAGTACCCAGGCGCAGCTCCACCTTTACTTCTGCGTAGATGACACCACGAACAACCTTGGGACGACCATCAACGTACATTTTGTAAAGATTGTTGCTTCGCTGGATTGGCGCGGAAACCACAGAGCTCCCGGTGTTTACGCATGATCCACTGTTATTGCTTAAATTCAGGGATTTGTCGTCAAGCATGCTTGTGCTCCCACTTTCTGTGGGCTCTGCATGCAGCTGGCACAATGTTGCCGTCGGGTGTGCATGTGATGCAGGCATGTATTGGGCGTAGTAATAGGGAGACCCATACACACTGCAGTCATAGGCGGTTTCATCCACGTAAAGTTCATCATTGTAGGCGCCCAGGGTGTACGTGTCCCACGGCTTCTCGACGGGAATAAATGCGGGCGCGTTGGGGTTGGGTTCATGCCGCTTTTTCTCAGTGGGTGTGTTGTACGTCAGAACCGGGGTGAGGATGGCTTGAACGTACGGATTATGCGTTTGCCTCTTCCGGACCACCTTCTTCACCTCATTGAAGGCCGCGTTATTCGCCTTGTTGGCTTCCTGAATGACACCAACGGTGCAGTCGGAAAGGGGAGCAAAGTGCATTTCCCTTTTTTTTTGTTTTATTTTTTGTTTTTGTTTTTGTTTTTAAATATTTACTTGCCTATTCCGCCGCTTCGCGTAGCAGCTTAGCCGGAGCACAAATATAAATATATGCGCGTATGCTTGGCAGTGGTCGCACGCAGTGTTTGCGGCAGAGGTGGAAACTCACTTCACGTATCCTTCAAAAACAAGCCAAAACGAAAACAAAAAAGAAACAGAAAAAGAAGTTGCAGCTGTGAACAACGTCCAGGCCCACACACCGGGCATGTGGTCATCGTTGTTCCATGGAATTGCACCTCACGCTTTGCCCGCCGCTATTAAAAAGGAAGGGGTTACTGCTGTGAAGAAACATTTACGCTTAACAGGCGCCCTCGGCCTCCCACCGCAACTCTCTCGGTTCTTTGTTGTTGTTTTTCCCCCTCCTTTTTTCTTCTTTACCTTTCATCGCTGTTACGACCCCGCTCCTACGCCGCTGCCACACGCCAAAGGCGAACCATGTTGTCGTCGCCTCCGGAAGCCAGCAACACACTGCCGTCGTCACTGTTGCCGCTCATAGCTTCCTTGTTATCATCCTGTGTTCCCTGAGGAAATGAACAGAAGGCGACACTGTTCACATCCGCTTCATGCGCAGACGGAACTTCTGCGAGGACGGCAACGTGCACCTCCTTGTTCCCAGGTGACTGGTGAAGCCCCAGGATGGTGATTTTGTTGTCGCCACTGCCGCACGCCACAATGGCTCCGCAGCGGCTGGGGGCCCAACTCACACTGTAGATGGAGCGTGCGGCAAAGCCCGTGGCGGTGGCAACCACCTGGAACTTTCCTTCAGCGTTGCACTTCCAGAAGGTCACGCTCTTATCGTCCGAGCAACAACAGATGATGGGCTGGTGGAGGCGAGGCGCCGCCCCTCCCTCTTTTCCCCCCTCCGCCAGCAGGTTCTCAATGGACTGCTCGACAGGCTGCACGGTGAGAGCCCAGACCGTCTCCTCGTGCCGTGTTAGCGTCTGAAGGCAGTACCAATCATCGCGGCGGTGCGACTCTGTCCAGACCTTCACAGTGTTATCGTAGGAGCACGAGAGCAGAAGCGGCTTCGCGCTTCCCTCGAGGGGCGGGATCCAAGCACACGCCTTCACATCCTGCGCATGCCCTGCAAGCACGCCGGCGCACTCGAATTCACCAACGTCAACGCGGTCCCACACCCAAACAGTGCGATCGCGTGAGCACGTCGCCAATGTGCTGTCCGTTAGCCATGCCGCACACTTCACTTCACTTTCATGTCCTTCAAGGACAGCCTCCAGGTCAAACTCAAAGAGACTTGGACCGTCAGATGCCCGTTTCCACACGGTTGCCGTGCGATCAAAAGAGGCGCAGGCAATATACTCCCCGCTGGGACTCCACGAAATGTGACGAACCGTTCGACTGTGTTCACCCTGCAATGTATAAATGCACTCCCACACGGTACTTTCCTTCCCATGCTGCTGCTGCTGACCATCAACAGCAGATGCGTGTTGCGAGCAACTCCATAGTCGTACTGTTTTATCAGCAGAACTTGAGGCCAATACGTTTGCCGTCGGGCACCAGGCCACGCACCACACGCGATCCTCGTGGCCCGCCAGTACCGCAACAGGATCCACCCGAAGGAGCGGCGGTGGATCAAAAGACAAATGCAACGGTCGCTCAGTGACGCCAGCGGCGTCCTTCTCACCGGATGCGGTGGTGGAGAAAAGCGGCATTATCTCCTGTTTGTTTTCCACCTTCTAGGCAGCTTCCCATTTCAGCGCAAGAAAAAAAAACACACAAACGGAACAGAAACTCAGCCCCTTCCAATACAAAAAATAAATAATAATAATGAACCACAGCGAGGCCAAACCGGCGTACCCCCACCCCCCTCACCCTCCACAATTTGCAGGTCCCTTTTGACATACGATCAAATTATTTATTCAATATATCAATTAAACGGTTCCAACGCACAGAAACTCAACAGTTAGTACAAATTGTACGTATTACGGACAAAGCATCAGTTTGACACACAGAGAGATAAAAAAAAAAAAAGGACTCTTCCAAGTAGATTCCTCTTACCTACGTTGTTTCCCTAATCACTGTCGTCAAACTGAAATGCCCTAACACTCGTATCCACGCCAGCAGCATAAAACTTCGCCTTATTCTTTTGTTTCAGCTTATTGAAGTTTTTGCCCTTTACCCGCATCATCTCCTGATTTTGACGAAGCTCCATATGCTCATCACCCGGCCGATTATCTCTTAACTCGTCCTTTAAGAACACAATCTTTGTCGGATCAATACGCTGAAACCGCCGCAACACACTTCCACCCTTCCCATTACTGCTTCGATCACCGACAACTTTATTATCATTCCACTCCTTGGACTGTTGCACGACTACTCCCTTTTCTGTTCGAGAAGACTTCTTCACGGGTCCATCTTCGTCACCCGACACAGAATCATATGCCCTCTTTTGTGCCGGCTTCCGCACAGGCTCATCGTCGTCGTCAGAGCTGTCCGGGATAGCGGCCTTCTTCGCAGCAGGCTTCATTGCAGGTGACGCCTTTGCCTTCGGCGCCGGCTTCCGCACAGGTTCATCGTCGTCATCGGAGCTGTCCGGGATGGCGGCCTTCTTTGCAGCAGGCTTCATTGCAGGTGACGTCTTT